CCCCCGGTCCCCCAGCCGGGGCTCACAGAAACCTCCACGCTCCGCACGGGGGGCGATACTAATGTAGAAATGAAGGAGGGAGAGTCTGAAGTTAGGACAGAGCCTGAGCAGGAAATGTGGCTGTTAATGCACGACATTGAGGGAGTGACTGATGGTGTTGTTCTTTACACACTTGTTACTTCTGTGTGTGTGTGCGTGTGTGTGTGTGTGTGTGTGTATCGCCCTGTGTCCTAGTGTCTGTGTGTGTTTGTGTGCATGCATTTTCCACTGTCTAAAAGCAGACAGGGGCTTTCCAAGTCCTCTGAGCCGTGAAGCATTGGTACAGAAACCATGTGAATCACAACCAGCACACACACACACACACACACACATAATAGACTGCAGACCCACACAAAGCCATATTTTGTCTTGCATTCAGAGAAGGGGATAGACGGAGGAAAAGTCCCTGATTTTTGTCTTGGTTTTTTTTTCCACAGGACAATAAACCTCAAAAAATGGCTGTTAGTGTGTGTGTGTGTTTAACATGATGCAGCGTACGTGTGTGTATTGTGACTATAGTTTTCGCAACACGACCGTCTTTGTTTTTATCATTATTGGTTCAATAATCTTCAGGGGGAATTGTGAGGCATGTGAGTCCAATTCTTCCTGTTCCTATTTTCAATTTCACAACCGGTGAAATTGAATTGGTAACGAGACGAGAGAGAAAATGAAACATGCCGTTAAATTAGAAGGAATTTAAAAACAGGACTTTAAAATTTAATCATGATTAAAATGATTTTAAAATGTATATATTATTTAGGGTCTGTATTCCAGTGTTTGTACATTTTTGTCCAAATCACAAGTTATCTTGATGCAAGATCTGAAATGGATTTGTACCATTTAAATATTTTAAATATAAAATAATTTTAGAAATTTTTGAGATTCTTATCTTAAATGTAAACACCAGAACATAAATCTTAATAAATATAAATTCTTCTTTAACGATAATGTTATTTATATCAACAATATTAATGATAATCAAACGATGTAATTCCAACTCTCCCAGTTGAAATAGATCGATTTTCCTGTGTGAGATACACAGATAACTGCTCGACTGTTCAAATGTGTGCTGCAGATGTTTGTACGGATTCGTTTTGTCACACTGTGACTTCTCCTTCCAGCCCAGGCCGTGCTGTACTGGTGCTCCAGAAACATGTCTGTGTGGAGCAACGTGTCCTTTAACCTGGCCGTGCTGATGAACCTGCTGGTCTGCTTCTTCTACCCCCTGGAGGGCGTTCAGTCAGGTCAGTCACATTTGACAAGTGAGAGTGAGAACAGACACCAAACATCCTGTCCTCGTGAAAACACCCAACGTTCAACATCCTCCACTGCATTTACTGTGAAAATAGTTACAACCATAAAGTGATTAATCATGAGTCGTGAGTATTTTGATGTTTTTATACTTTTGACTTTTGAAACTTGCATCATTTCACTCCACATGCAGAAATGTTTTTGTAATATTTTTTTTCTTTAAGTAAATGTGATTATTTGAAAACCAGCCACTGTTTCTAGACAGAATTATGCTTTTCAAGAAACAAAAAAGATCAAATTTGGTTTCAATTTATGGAGGGATATTCTTTGAAAAATCCAATTTATGGAAAAAATGTCAAGGAGAATATGCAAAAGTGTGACTTTTTTGCTTTGTGGATTTTAGTCGTTACTGTGCATCTCGATCGTCACATGAGTTTTGACCTCATGACCTCGACAGTCAGTCCACAGTCCCCTCACCGTCTGACTGGGTCAGTCGGCGTGCCAACTGTTGATTTACTTATTTTTAATTTTATTAATGTAATAGTTGTTTTCTGTGTATGTGACAGTATTGGGAGGTTATTCGGGATACATGTGTGTTTGCTCCGCTTCAGGTCTGTAGTACTGGTTCTGTCTGTGTCTGTACCTGTGTTGACACTGTGGTCAAAGAAAAATGAAATTGTCAACAAAGCAAAAAAAGAAGGACCTGACAGTGAGTGATGTTTGCTACGAGCTGGTGAAATAATATCCTCCTGTTGTCTGATGTAACTCTGCAGCTTTATTATTGACAAGGATTCACAGGGTTTTTGTTTTTTTTACATCAAAGTCTCACTTGACTTTTTCTGTTGAAGGCATGTGACCTGGTAAAGACCCCACCCCCATCCCCAAACCACACCCCCTCCCACTCCCCCACCCACACAGGAATGCAGACCCTGTGTTAGGCTAAAAAGGCATCAGCACTGACACACTGATCTCCTTTTCACTCCGGTCTTCACGTCTCCTGACTTTGAATCACCTGACAAGGATTAGCAACAGGACATGAAAATCCACCTGCTTTTGTTTAAGACACACCCCCTCATAAACAAACATGAACTCACTTCAACTTACTCTTCAAAGCCTGAAATGATATTTGACTTTAGGAACTATGGAGACCACAGGAAAACACAGGAGTGTCCCTCTGCAGGTTTTACATTTCATGAACACATCACACAAACACACGTCACGTCACAACAACAATATACAATTTTTTTTTTGGAAACTAAAGATAGGAATTTAGTAATCTTTGCTTTGTATAATGAAAGAAAATTATTAGCCACCATGACCTGTTGTAGTTGATTGTGCAGCTGTTTTGTTAAGCGGTGTTCAGTAAGATCCAGGCTGAATTTCTGTACGACATTCCTGCATCTTTTTAGTTGTTTAGTTGTCGTGTCATACCTCTAATATTAGGTTAAGACACCTGGAAATGTTCTGATATGTTTTAACTCGTCCTCCAGCTACACATTAGTCATTGATAAATATTAGTTACCAGTCGAACTCAGTTCAAACTCAACGGGAATTACTTGGGAATTTTGTGATTTAGCTGAAATAACATCTTCAGGTTTTGACCTCGGTTGTTTGAAGAGTTTTAAAATAACTCCAGCGTCATCTTATTTTAATAATATCCTCAAAAGTTCATTTTAAAACCCCTTCTACGTATAAAAGCAACTGGGGAATACCAAAAAAAAGGGAAAAATAATTCAGACTGACCAATAATTTTGTCCCCACGTATAAACCACAAGGGAATTAAAAAATACCCCTCCCTCGACCCCAACCACTGAGGGGTTTCAGATTCACTCTTAAATGTGGAAATAAGTGAGAAGAGAACAAACTCTTGACTGGAACTTGTCGTCACGTGAGACCAAAGCAAACCTCTGGCCTGCTTTAACAGGCTCGTTTATGGCTCTGGGCTCTTGCCTTTCCACAGGCTTGCACACACTCTCCCTCTCTCTCTCTCTCTCTCTCTCCCCCTCTCACACACACACACACACACACACACTCTTACAGGCTTGCACACTTGCACTGCAGCTCTCTGTACATGCCTCCTTTTTTCACCAGGGGCTTTTGAATGAGGGTTATAAGAGCAGGAGATCTAGGTCAGTGTGTTCTGCGTACATGACTGACTGACTGACTGACGTCTGATAAATAGCTCTGGTTAGCACCAACCGCTCGCACCACATGCTTACACGCAGGCGCTGCAGCTCGTGCTCGCAGCCCTCTCCGCTCTTGTTGTTGTTTTTGGAGACGTTTGCTCACAATCGTCTGCCTACACGTTCCACTGCAGTCTGAGGCAGGAGCAGAGCTGGGGTTCATGTAAACACCGCTCTCTGGCTCTGCCACATCACTGCAGCTCCATGTTGCTCTCTGCTCCTTCCTCATGAATCTTTCAGCGGAGGTATTTTTAGAGATGACTGTTATGTAAGTGGCACCTGTCATGTGATCTCTGCAGGGAGTGGGTGGGGGTGGGGAGGGGTGGGAGAGGGTGGGGGAGGCAGGAGAAAGAGCGGAGGGAAGGAGAGCAGAAGGAGAGGAAGTTGGAAATAATTGAAAAAAAAAATAGTTCACCCACAATATTCCCCTTCTGCAGGATCGTACACCACGTTTCTATTTTTTTTTTTTTTTTTATGATCACATTTCAGCCCCAGTTTCCCATTTCTTTATTTACACATTGAAACCTCTGTGTGCGGTACTCCTAGAATAAAAACACTGTGAGGAACACAGGCCTTGTTTTTTGGGTTTTTTTTTTTTTTTGTGAAACCTGGTCCAGGGTTTTGCCCTGAGTGACCCGGTGTCACATGAAACCCCCTTGACTAGGACTATAATCCTGGATTTATTCCAGGATCAAGAGAAGGCATCGGCTTTTTTTCTAAAGCTCCCTCCGTGTGTGTATGTGCAGAAAGTATGTCAAATACTTTGGGGTATTATGTAATCATCTGTGAGTTCAAAGTCTCACTAACAAACACCCAGGACCTGTGTGTGTGTGTAACAGAGGTTAGCGTAGGCTAGGAAAACAAATCTGTTGACATGAGTTTTACTCTAGAAATCCAGAATGATGTCTGGCTTATTTTATACACTTTTTTTTTCTTCAAAAAAGTATTATTGAAAAATCACAAAGATGAACTCACAGGTCATTGAGGTCATCCCTGTAGATCAATCCCACTGATTCAAATGTCTTATAGTGTGTGTGAGTAACTTTGCACGTTTTTAATGGAATCCAATAATGCTTGTCTCTGCAGTGAAGAGGAACTCGTGTCGACTCTTAACACAACGCTCTCTTGTTAGTGTGAGGAGATACGAGTTCCCGTTTGTCGAAGCTCAGCCACCAGAGAGAAAACCTCAAGCAGGAAAGGGTTTATTTAAATGTTCTGTTTCTAAAAAAGCTTAAAATGTTATTACATATGAAGCGCAACAGGAAATCTAGACAGGAAGTGATCCGCAAACACAAATGCTATTTTAATCTTAGCAGTTGTGCAGTATGTATTTAAAGTTTAGGTACTGTAGTTATACTACCAAATTCATAAAGTAGTACCAAACACAGCTGCTCAGTGTTATTGTCATTTATTCATAATAAAATTGACTGAAATTGAGTCATACGTGTGAAACTTTTCTAAATATTTACAGCCCATCAGTCAAAGGTGATCTTACAGGGAGCTAAGCTAAGAGGCTAATGTGGCTCAGGAGCCAGACAACAACAACAACAACAACACAGTTATGAATTGAAATACATGTTAAACACCCTCTAAAGCCACTGTCCCCTCTCCTGTGTTTGTGCTGCAGGCATGCTGGACCCACACCTGTCTGCGCTGCTGTGGATGGGAGTTTTGGCAACACTGGTAATTGTTGTTATCATGCCTCAGCCTCTGGGCGTCCGTGCCCTGGTCATTGTCACCATCCTCCGCCTCATCTTTTCCGTTGGCCTAGAGCCCACGCTTTTCCTCCTGGGTGCCTGTAATGTAAGTTGAGTCACACAAATGAGCAGTTGGAGTGTTGTCATGTATCAGCAGGGTCACTGGGAAATGGTGTTGGTGGTTGAACTAACGCAATAACCAGGCTGAGCCGCTGATTAGCTCCATTTGTTTGTTGTTGTTGTCCTGTTTTCTAATTTCTCTTCAGTTTTTCAAAGGCTTCACAAACATGAAATGTGATGTAACTCTGTTGATTGTGAGGAAAGTAGAGCGCGCTGTCCCGTCACGGTTGTGACTGACGTTTGTCAAACTACACGCAGGAATCGATGACACGTTGATTCCACACCGCGTCATTCGCTCCTCCCACGGAGAGAGTCCGTACAGGAAGTACAGCTTTTACGATAATAATTAAAAAGACCTAATGGCCCAAAATAAACCCACCCGACGGCCTCAGTAGGTCCCCGAACCAGACTTTGGATATGACTTAATAAGCATATTCACTGTTTTTAGACTTTTGTTGTTGAAACTCCAGAGGTTCTTATGACTACGGTGTTCTTATGACATTGTGGAACACACTAGTTTTTTTTTTCCACTCCCCCCCCCCCCCCCCCCCCCCCCCACCCCCCCCCCTCCCCCTCCCCCCCCTCGCT